ATTTGATGGGACATGGCCAATGTGTATTGGCAGAGATAACCAGGTATGCTAGCATAACATTTGATGGGACATGGCCAATGTGTATTGAGCAGAGATAACCAGGTATGTAGCATAACATTTGGTGGGAAATGGCCAATGTGTATTGGCAGAGATAACCAGGTATGTAGCATAACATTTAATGGGACATGGCCAATGTGCATTGGCAGAGATAACCAGGTATGTAGCATAACATTTGGTGGGACATGGCCAATGTGTATTGGCAGAGATAACCAGGTATGTAGCATAACATTTGATGGGACATGGCCAATGTGTATTGACAGAGATAACCAGGTATGTAGCGTAACATTTGATGGGACATGGCCAATGTGTATTGGCAGAGATAACCAGGTATGTAGCATAACATTTGATGGGACATGGCCAATGTGTATTGACAGAGATAACCAGGTATGTAGCATAACATTTGATGGGGTATGTTCAATGTGTGTTGACCAAGATAAGCAGATGACAATTTAGAAAAAAAAAGAACATGTTTTAAAACATTAACTGATAATATCATAACACAACTTATATGAGTATGAATGTACTTTTCCATAAAATAGATTACTCTTACCATTATGAATTGTATTCTGACTAGCAATAACAACCATGGTGCAATTACATTATATGATAATTATATGTTATAATGAGTAATTAATTAACTATAATGGGTTATGATACTAGTACTACTTCTAACCTGGAGGGGATCTTTGGTTGCAATGTGAACCTGCAATCAGAACAGAGCAATAAACAAAGCATTTGCAGTGACTCCATGCAATACTGGACAACATGGTACATGGTGCTCATTTTTTTTATTGTTCACAGGTCAACCAAGAATAAGTCCAAGAAATTAATATAAAATCAACACTGGTGGGTCAGAGTTTAATTTTTGATATAAATTATAATTGCATCAAAAAACTCTCCTGCATTTTATACCAATACATCCTAAGTTGTGTAAACTAGTTCCAGCACTCCAGGCTACACTGCTTTTAATGGTATTAGTTGTATCATGCTGGATATGCCATGAAGACTGAAAACATATCTGGCAGTTTGCTAATAAATTTTACTTTAACAAATCATACACAAAAAGTACAATGGTAATAATGGCAAAACAACAATGCTCATGTTGGCAGCAGTTAACATTTTCAAATCAGTGGATTGTTCTAAGCCAGTCAAAATTGTGCCAAATTACATTTCTCCAATATATAATATATACTACGTGTGCATATGTGGTGCTTTCATGGCAATGAAAACTTTATTCACACAATAGACTACAATGCACGAGCATTCTCTTGATTTGTAATACTGACTTTTTTTTTTACAATTCTATTTATTTTTATATACATATTGCTATTAACTGATAGAAAATGTTATTCAGTTTTGTACCAAACACATTGATTTCAATTGCAGGCATCAGTGATGCCTTTAAAAATTTACATAATTTTCATGAATTATTGAAAACCATTTTTTCTGTCATACAAGTTGGAAGTTGATATTTGATAACATCTTGGTATCTTTAAGTACTTACAATTTACTAGGGCAAATGGGTTCATAGCTAAATGGTTTTCTATCTGGAGTGCACAGTAACCAGTCAACTAATAACTCATCTATTACAACTATTCTGAATTTAACCAAGAAATAAGCAACCTAAACATGAGACTCATTGTGCACAGGAAAATTGACAATGTTAATAAATTAGTTTTCTGTTACTTACATCATTGCCTTCCAGATCAAATGTGTGAAACAGTAGTGATATTCTGTGATGTGGTTTTCCAACTATTTGCCATACACAGTTTTTGTTGACTGGATACGCCAATGGGTATGAAGGGCTTGTGATGTTACCTTGTAAATCAGTCAAAAAACCACCACAGGCAGCTGAAATGACAGAAAATGGTTGTCATTCATTTCATTTGTTAGAACTCAAGCAAATAAATAACAGGTTCTCATTGAGTACTTTTGAAGACAGCAATATTTCATTCTCTCAATCATATAATGAATGAGAGTCTTAACAAACATACAAGGTGGGTATCATTGTGTTACATATGAAATATATGGGTGGGTAAGCAAAGTGTGCTGCTTAATACTTTGTATTACAGAAGATACTGTACCTTCACAATGTTTTTGATCAATTGAAAGCTCAAATCCAGGTTCACATTCACAGTGATATCCACCAATAGTATTCACACACTTCTGTTCACATCCACCTTGATCAACTGCACACTCATCTTGTTCTAAAAAAACAAATCAAATCATTTTTATACCTTAAAATAATAAAACATAATTCTGAAGGCAATAACTGAAATTGTGTGTTGTATCATTCAAATCTATAATTGATATCTAGGACAGTATGTGATATTTCATGTTAGCAATGGTCCTGTCAGAGAGACAGAGATGGATGAAAATTACCAGCAACCACCATCCAATCTATTGGGCAAGCTATACTGAAAATGCACAATAATTACACTTGTATTGATAAGCAAATATAAAGATGTATATTACAACATTTTCTATTACTAACCAATGAAGAACTGCGCAGAGAATCCTCCTTTGTTGACCGAGCCATCTGAGACAAACTTAACCATCAGTTTATTACCATCAGAGTGGAAATCACGAGGAGTGGTGTATCCACAATATTTACCAAGCAATCTGGAGTCTTCATCATAGCCATCACGAACTTCTAAATAGTCATAAATACAACTATCATGACGCTCTATCTACAGAGATCAACAAAAATAGTTGTTAATACAACTATAATGGCATATGTTAATTGGACATCATTGATGTAGTTAACACATTAATTTGTGTTAAATAATCTATAAAGGCCCAAAGACAGCAAAGTATACAGATTAAATGGTACACATGTCATTGATATATGGTACACCATTACCATAACAGTGCATCCATCTACACAATACCCAAACACATATTGAGGATGAATTCCATTATGATATGAAATGCCCACAACATATTACAATTAGGAGCAAATTGTTTGACTCAATTAAAAATAAAACTGTTAATTTCCATTTGATGGATGAAGATTCAAAATTTAAATACATTATGGGCAACACTTCCACATTAATACAGCTTGTCATTTTTATAAAAGAAAGTATGGTAATGCGATACAGTAATTATCAATTCCCTGATTTTTCCAAGCCCTTTTGTTAAACTGTTTTAGTATGTGTTTTTTTTATGTATTTAGGAATTGTTATCTAGTTATAAATTGGACTATGTTTTATTCAAAATGAATAATGTCAATAAAGTTAAAGTTAAAGTTAGTATACACATTTAAAAAAACGACTATTGATGTAATGTTTTACCGAGTCAGTACATGTATACATACCGTAGTACATGCATGCTACTGTTGGTTTACAGGGGTACATCAATGTGTGCATGGAATATTGGACCTCAGCTAAAATTCAAACAATAGATATCTTTTGATTGCTTTGGGCAAGAGATCAAATGATGGAAAAACATCTGCTACTAATGGCACAGATGGTTCTACTGGTACCTCTTGTTGCCTCTAACT